TGTTCGGATTTCCATGTTGAAATCTTCACACCTTGATTCGACGCTGATTTGAACTACTTGCTTGAGTTCTTCTTTCGTTGATCCCACACCGACAACTGTACCCTTGATAGGATACCGGGTTGCCATGAGTTGTTGTGCAGCGCGTTCACTTATGAAGCTCGCTTGTGAGCCTTGGTCTATTAAAGCACGTAATATCATTGTGTGATTGGTTTGACTTCTTACTCGTACGATTGCGGTCGCTAATAATGATGTGCTTTGTGTTGTTGAAACGTGTGATGTCATCATTGTTACGTCTTGTTCTTCACTCTTCTCCACGTTTGTATGTAGTGTCACTTCGGATTGTTTTGTTTCTTTCTTAGTATTGCCCGTTGTGTCACGTTGAACCTCCTTATTTTCATGTAGAAGTGAATGATGACGTCTTTTGCATATTCTACAACATGTTGGTATACGACAATACCTTACAGAGTGTCCAGGTGCAAGGCAATTGAAGCACAGGTTGTTCGTTTTGATGAACTCACATCTTTCCGTAGGTGATTGTTTTCCAAATTCTTTGCAATGGCTAAGTGTATGACCTTCTTTGCATATTTTACATTGCTTAGTGTTTTCAACATTAGTAGTTACATGAAATGTCTTCTCTCGCACTTGAACAGGACTCGACTTTTGTTTTGTTGGTTCTGTGAGTTCCAACGTTCTAAATCGGCTTTCCAAGAACTTGCGAAACATATCCAACGACGGTAGAGTTTCAGAATCTTGACAATTGCTACTTACATGCTCTTCCCAGTCTTTGTGCGTTTCACAGTCTAGTTTTTGTACTACCACGAAGATTATAAGAGGATCCCAGTTTTCAATATTCACCTTCAAAGTTTTGAGTTGATGTAAACATTCGAACGTTGTATCTAGCAAATTTTTGATAAGACTTGAACTGTTAACAGTCATTTTCTTTTGAGAAAAGAACCTTTTCATCACTGCATTTATGATAATTCGAATATTGCCATACCTTGCTTTTAAAATGTTCCATGCTTGCTCATAATTCGAATCTGTCACCTGTATATGCTTTAATATCGAAGCAGCTTCACCAGACAGGCTTGTTTTCAAATAATGTAATTTTTGTACATTATTTAATGACGCATTATTATGCACAAGTGTATAAAATAAATCATGGAATGATAACCACTCTTCATATTGTCCACTGTACGTAGGTAGTTGTATTTTTGGTAAAATTACCTTTGTCGGTTGAGATTCGCTGGGTATTGGCAAAGAAGCACTATCACTAACTGTCTGTGTCACTAAAAGTTCCTTCAAGTCCGTAATCAAGCTAATGTACATCTCCTCATGTTCATAATATTCTTCATTTGCTAAATACGGTATAAGGTTCCGTTTCTCCCGTTGTACGTTACGTATTATTTCGCCATGAGCTTGCTTATAGTCAATCCAATAGTCTTCTACACATTTCAGACGAGCTTCGACGTAAGTGCGGGTTAATCTGGTCTTTGGGCTCTTCTTTAAATTGATATGGGTCTTCTGCAAAGTACGAGCAATATTTTCCACAATGTTGCATGCTTTATCCACTTCTGTAGCCATTGTTGTTTCGTAAAACGTAAATCTTCACAAAGCAATGAATTGAATGTAGTTATTATGTTTAACTGTAATAAATATCTAATCTTTTCTTTTCGATTTTTACAATGACATTATGTGTCACTCTCACAAAATGTAGTCCTCCATATATCTGAGCTGGTATCCGGTTCGATTATGGACCATATGTTGATTCGATAAGGTTGCAGTTTGCTTGTGATGATTCTCCAATGAAAGACGTGCGGTTGTTTCGAAATTATATTTGACACTAAAGTTAATACGTAGAAGGTAGAATGAAATGAATGGACTACAGATTAATAAATATACATAGTTATGTGATACAAACTTTTTGAACGAACATGGTACGTGTAACTGCTGACTCTATTCGTATTAAAAACGAAGTAGATTATCGTTCGTACTTCGTTTCAGTTACAGGCAGACATACATACATAAACTTGCGATTCCTCTTCCAATCGTATTAAGTAAGTTCTCAAATCTGCAATGAAGAAATGACAAATATGTCCAATTAGAATTCAAGACAGGGGTTCGCTGTTACATTAGCATGCCTTGGTATAAGTGATGAAGTATACATTACGTATTCAGTGCTCTCGAGACGGTTCCACTGAGCACAGCCTGCACAGCCTGCACAGCACACTGCACCCCACATACATCGCGACACACTCCGCACAAATTTGGCTGCATTACCATAGTCAACATGCTTAGCTGGCAGGCAGGCAACTTTGATGGCGTGCCGGGCAATCATTGGTGACATGAATTAAACTGTCAAATACCAAGCGGTCACCGGTGACCGCAACCTATTGTTCTATAATTGTGTCTGCAAAACCGGTACTCGACGAGTTAATGAACACTTGTCAAACAATTGGAGTTTCAATTATTAGGACTTTGACAAAAGCTACGGCTTCATGTAAGACTCGTGACTAGGTGACGATCTGTGTATTCTATATGACTTGTTCAGTCCCTCATGGCATGTATGTAATTTGAAGTTTATTTAACCCAAAGTCTTATTAACTAAATGAAGTATCTATTAAATTCAGGGACTCGTGTATTCTACCATAAAAACTAAAATATATAGTTTGTGAGTAATTGCAGGAAGATAAACGACGAGTTAGCCATCTAGGTTACAGTTTCGAATATGAGATCAAATTCTTCTGAGAATTTGTGAGGAAACAAACCATAAACAAATTTTGTGATTTATTAATAAACATAAAAAAAACATGACAACAAACAAACAAACAATATTAATAAATCTTTTGTAAAATAAATATAGTTGCTATCTATCTATCTAGCTAATCGTATTATCTCGTTTATTTTCCTTATAGTATCTTGTTGTTGATCCTATAAATGTGATCATCAGATTATTGATGCCCTCGTCAGTTGTAACTAGGAACCACTAAACGAACTATAAGATTACTGGTGTTTAGTCTCCTTTCTATAAGAATTATATTACGTTTATGAAAGACAAACGTTTACGGTTAATTAGATCGAACGACTGAGACAAAATATTGTGACAAAAATAACTATTGATTACACTATTGACGAATAAACAATCGGTTCTAGAACAAAATATTGAATGTTTTTTGAAAACGTTGTCCCACACTAGGATTTTCTCCTATGTCGTGGGTACATACGTTTACAAATATACAAGTCCACATACACATAACACCCAGACCCGAAACAACAACATGCTGCCGTTAGTTGAAAGCTTGAGTTTGATTTTACTTCCACTTTCCAAGTACACATCATTTAAAATTAAATTAATAATATTACAGAATCTTCTTACGAACATTAAGTTGATTAATTGAAATCTTACAAGCCTTGGGAGTAATACAAAGTATTTATATATTTTTTGTAGATAAATGAGCACATCAATGTATATGATTGTGTTTGATAATTACACGGGATGGTAATGAGAGCCGTTCAAGGCTTTATAGCCACATACATACATGTAGGTGGGTACATAAGGAAAGTACATGTGTACGCGAGTAGGAAGACAGTGGTTGTAGTAATATAATACGGGCGGTATTAATTTGTACGGAGTGCGCCGCTATCGGGTTTAATTAACAAATTTAATTAGAAATTAACCGTTTTGCGCGCCGGCGTGCGGTGCGCTCCGGCCCACATTCACAGGGCTGCCGGGCTGCTACACTTGTCATTCTATTTTACTCATTATTCTTACACTATTATTGTTTTATGTATTATCATGTAAATAGACAATGACGATTTTCAGAAGAGACCTAAACGTTCCCCTTTATATTTTACTAGTTTTTAATTGACTTGGATTGTGTTTGGATGTCGGTAATACGCTAAATAAAAAGTTAACGAAATTATGACTTACTGTGACAGTCGAATTCTCTCATTTCAGTCTTATTAGAATAGATCATCAATTACTAATTGGTAGTTACCAAGACAACATGCTAGTTATTTTGCTAAACAAAAGCACGTGGACAAAATACTAGCTGACATGGCTAGCCAAACACTAGTATGACTCGACAGTGTAACAGCGCCGGTTGACAGTGGCAGCCCTGGCTCGCAGTGTGTACAAACAGCGTCCGCTCCGGCGGTGAATTTGAAAATTTAATTTAGTTGCGTTTTGTTCCCGATAATTGGTTTGTTTTCCATGCTTAGTTATCAAGCGGCCGCCAGAGGGAGCTGTTACATCGCTCTAATGGTTATATCCGATCGCTCATTCCAATTAGAATCGAGGCTGTATTGTGTTGTACAAAGGATCTCTCCAAGTTCTCGCGAGATATGGATACTGCCAACTTGAGATCTATCATTAAATTAAGTTCTGACCTTATTTATTGAGGATCGATGCTCTTTCTGAAGGTTGAGTTACTCTTTGCGTGGTTTTCCTGAATTTTTCCATGTTTCAATATTTGGTTTTGCTTTTAGAGTCCACATACAGAGAGTGATAGATCATAACTTCATGTACGTACTATCTCAGTAATATATTTTTATTATTGTATTCACATACGTCTAATTACTTTTCAACGAAACTCAGTAAATATTTGTATCGCGTCAGGGAGATGACCTCGTGATCTGTGATACAGGTTTCACCTACAACAGACACCAGTCTCAGGTTCAATTATTTTGTTTGATGTATATTATTGTGAAACTGATGATGATAGAAATACATAAATATTATTAAAATTATTAAATTTTTGTAATATGTGCATTGCCAGACTTTAGTTAACATACAATGTGGGTTTAAAAATTACATAAAGATAGGTTTTTTAATCTTTATTTTATAAGTAGGGCTATGAATATAAGTTGTAGATATGTCAAAGTCAAAGCATTTATTTCAATTAAACCATAATTTGGTATGATATGATATGATGACTTATGAAAATCACCCTTGAAAGCCACTGCCATCCTACACTAATTGTAATACTTCAATTTATTCGCAGGTCTGGTTCCAAAATCGTCGAGCGAAATGGCGCAAAACGGAGAAGTGTTGGGGCAGGTCGACGATAATGGCGGAGTACGGCCTGTACGGTGCCATGGTGCGTCACTCCCTGCCGCTGCCGGAGACCATACTCAACAGCGCCAAGGAGAACGACGCCGTCGCGCCCTGGCTACTCGGTGAGTTCGGTGAGACTGCTTGATGTCACTTATATACAGCTTCATAGAACAATGTGTAACGGAATAAACACTACATTTCCTAAAATTAATTCCTATTTTTCCTTGAATTCCTAATTTGCCTTGAACAAGCGTCCACGAGATGTCACGTTTATTCCGTTACTTCTTGTTTAATAGTATTATACAATATATATTCGTACATAGGACTTATGAATATCGCGTTGGTCAAGCGCCGCGCAACAGATGGAGCCTTAGGTTCGATTCCCGGGTCGATAAAAATATCTATAATTGGTCCGGAACTGTGCAAGGTACTTATGTAGCAAGAGATTCAGTCCCTCTAATATATGGAATACATAGCCTAATTGGCAAAAAGTTTGTGTAGGTTGTCCTGGAACAAGTGAACGAATGAGCTGAATTTATGAGCTAGTTGGATGCAAAAGTTATAGATCCAATAACATGCGTCGGTCTACGGGTAATTTATAGTAACCGTCAGTGTTTATTATCGTATAAATGTGAACTACTAGAAGACTGAAATAAATTCAGCAATTTAGTTGTTATGATGATGCAACTACTCGGAATAATTAAAGGCAAAAATATTGTTATAGCAATAGACGTAACTCTGTGTGACATAGTTTATTAAAGGAAGTGAGGATTGAGAAATCGGTCTATGGCATATCTTCATACAGGTCAAGATAGAGTAAAACTCTGTTTTTATATTTTTTGATGTATGTAAAAAAGTACAATATTAACACTAATAACAGTTATGTTCTAATATTGTCTGATATTGTGCGTTTTTACATTACTTAGTTGTATGCATAGTGTAGTTGTAGTTGTCTAGTAAATAAGTTAGCTGCTGTAAGTCGGAGGCACGAGGCCAGGTAAGTTTATAGTTCTATTTAAAATAGTTTAGGGAAGTCACGAGGTCAAAAGGCAAATGAAACACAAAAAGGTTTTATACCTTAAATTAATTAATTTAATACTAAACTGTAAAAAGATCGCTTGAGACGTAGGCTCAGTAAGGTTGAGCTGAGGGGCTGATCATACCTCGTATACTGAGGTAGTTCAGTACTAGACAATGTCTTACCGTGATGATTTTGTTCAAGAGTCGAGAGCAGTAGCCGATAGGGGGCGGCCGTAGCGGCGAGCCTCCCCCCCTTCCCCCCGACCACCGAGCTCTGGTGAGTCACACAAGCATACTATCATACAAACATATACTCTGTGGATCCGCTCAGTAATTAGCCTCGCATCTTGAACAAAATTGTCACGGCACTAATTAGGTCGCCCCGGTTGTTGACCCCGAGTTATTTACTTTAGGGATGGTCTGTTATGATCCTGTTTTGAAGGTCGCGTTGTAGTATCAGTGTATTACCCCTGTAGTAGATGAATCATATTCAGTTTTTTTGTTGCAAGTCATATTCGGTCACTGACAAGTAGATATTGTAGTAATGAATGATTGTAGCTTGAGTAAAAATAATGAGTAATGATATTGTAAACATGTGGCCAACATTATTTAAGCATTTTCTTCGTAACATTTATGTAAACGATAAAAGTTCATGCGTTTATTTTGAAGTGCAGCCACCTGAATAACCATAACAACGGAACGTCTTCGTGGTAATTAACTTGAATAGTATAAATTCGTGAGTGAATGAGTAACTGAGTGCGTGACACTCAGACTACATTTATCTCCATCCTCGCTCCACGTGTAACTACGTCAAACTTCAATTTAGGTCACATCGCTGCAGTTTTATTCCCAAACTAATCTAAACTGTCAAAGGTAAAGCCAGAACAAAATGTGTTCAGGAGTCGAGCGACGCGGGCGACGCGGGCGACGCGGGCGACGCGACAACTCCGCCAAAACAAAGCGACGTATAATTTTTAATCCCAACAACAAGAGATGTTCATTTTTCACTGCGGAAAGGCTTCTGGGGAAAGCAAAAATAACTTTACTCTCCCAACGGGCAATTTTGAACTATATTCTCTCGAAATAAGAGCGAAGAAGACGATATAAACAAAATTGTTTTCAGCAAGAAAACAAGAATCCGTTGACAGCTTATGAGGAGGTTTTATTTGTTTCAGTGGAGACTGTAGAGGACGGTTGTAGATCTGTTTGTTTGTTATTTGGAAAGTACCTCCTCACTAATTCTATGTTATGAATTTATTACATTGTTTGTTTTATGTAGAACTGAGTAAGACATTTTTAATATGACCATATTAAGTTACCATTGAGAAATGTAACATAACAAGAATACATTTCATCCATGTATTATTAAAAATTACGTACTTTACAATAAGCTATAGCTGTATTTCAAAATAATTTAACTTGTTTCAAGTGGTCATTAGAACTAGTTTAAGAACATTAGCTACCAACAACAACGACAGCAATGTTTCGTAGACATTTCGTAGCCGTCGTAGCAGAGTGCTACGCAACGGCTACGGCTTACTATAAAGCAAGAATCCTGGCATATTAAGTGACATATGATCTGTAATGAGAGAAAAACGCGTGACTGTACACCATAAACACCATAATTTGAATAATAAAGACGCCACACAAAAACTGAAACGAGATCTACAGATATGAATTAATAAAGCCTAAGTTCTCCCCTAAAGCCTGCGTCGGCGAGTGGGGGGCACTCCCGCCGGGCGCACCGAGGGTAGGGGTGGGCGGTCCGCGGGGGAGGGGGGCCGGCAAGATGGCGGCCGTATTGTCTAAGCCTTGATTAACGTTGATTTAAGGGTTGCCAGCGGGCTTACATATTAATTATGTACTTAACTGTAGTCGGGCGGTGTTTTTCTACCTGACTGTATTTACGTGGTCTGGCTAGGTATTTGTAATGAGGGCGTTTTGTGGCCACTGCCTGTTCACCTCGAGTATTGTTGTGATTAATGACCTCCCGCTACCACGAGTACGCCGCGCCAGTACCGCCGTGCTGCGAGGAACTGCAGTATAGTGTGAACCTTCTAAATATATCATGTACTGTTAAAACTAAACTTCTGTAATTCAAATCATGTATGTTGTATTTGAAATATTATACAGCTGGTTACTAACACGGCTTGAACATATTTGCATTTCTTTAATTCTAACTCAAACTAAAGTTATTTCAACTTAATTATCAACTAACACAAACTAATTAATCATTACTGAAATACCACAAAATGGAATATATTATAGAATGGTAGCAATAATCATATAAAGGAAGAAAATATATTTATACAAAACTTTATCTGTCACATACCTTAGCGTACCGTTCAAAATGAAAATAAAATAATGATATAATCAACTATAATGAATTAAAAGGCAAACAGCAACATATGAGTTAGATTGCATGCAAATGAGTATCAGAGAGTAATGGGACTATGAAAGAACAGCGGCAGTAGTGGAGCAGCTCGACAAATGGATAGTAATGCGCGAGAGAGTACGTTACTGAATTATCTCCCTATTACCCACTCGCTTTGTGGCGGTCGCTTTCATCTCGCCTGATGACGACACTAAACCATTATCTAAAGTGAAAAGTATGGCTGCGGACGACACAAAAGGACACCGCGCCATTCAATTTTATACTTTATACCTCGCAAACACTACCCTGAATCACACAAGTGCATGGGAAATGTGTCTGACTTGACTTGGAAGTGACTCCGAAGTGGCTCGCCTTTGATTTGGATGCTCTCCAGACGTCAATGATAAGTCATCTCAGTGTTACGCGTGATGCATAGTTCGCACTCGGAAGTAGCCGCCGAGAGGTTCATTGAGCTCTTCACTAGATCTAAGCTAAAACTTTACAAGGGCACTTTGTGTCTATATTATAAAAGTAGGAAAAGTGCATCAGTTATAATGTAATTATAAAATTATAATGAATAGAAATGGAAATATAATTAGATAAATCTGCATCGAATGAATTCATAGGGAGCTGAGATACGTAATACGAACTGATAGTATTTACTTTTTATACAACATGGAAGAGATACTTATATCATGTAGTATATAACACTGTATTCAGTTCTAGTCAGTTATAACTTACTATATTCTTATACACAGATAATAGGAAAAGTTTGTAACGTGCGCGCGAGTCAAATTGAAATAAACATGTGCACCTTTTTATATAAGTTGACGTCTCAACTCTATGTTTAATTATGTTGTATTAAAGTCCAAAAATACTGATCAGTAGTAGATTTACTGTTTAATTTTGTGTAAATAAATAGTATACTAAACTTACAATCGTCATGAAAGAAGATTCATGTCTTGATAAACGTTACTAGATGACAAGCTGCCAAATATACCTCGTCAGTAATGAAAATAGTTTATCATATTTCCAAATCTATTTAAAAGTGTCGCGGAGAACCTAACGGGTAACCGGGGCTCCGGCTCGACGTGCAGGAGAAGGAACGGGGTGGTTTTTAGTCAGTAAGAGTCTGACACTCCCTCCCGCCTCACCCAGGCGGGGGCAGTCATTCGATGATTTTCCCCCCTTAAAAAAAAAAAAAAATCTATTTAAAAGTACATTTGTCTGTTCTACTACTGATTTTGTATTCACGTATTTAAAGAAAATCAAAATATAAGAACATTTATTTACATAAAATTGCAGATTTTTTTAAAAATCGTCGTTGCGTGTGGTATATCAACGTAAATCGTTTTTTTTTTTGTTGTAACGTTATATTCAATATATTGTCATAACTATTATATTTTTTATTGCCTTCCTGCGTTTATTTATCGGTACCTAAAATACTAAACTTTAGATTCTATAAACGAAGAAACAATTTGCGCAATGATTAGATTTTTGTTGAGCAATATTATATATACATTTTGTTTAGGTTCTTAAATAATCATATACCTAGAATAAAACAAGCAAATGCGATACCTTGCTTTGTTTCCCAAATGAAACATTCAGCCAGATCTAGAGTACCATAATATTTAATTTATTGACTGTAGACGTAACATCACTTCTTGTATTCCTTAACTTATAACTTTAAAACTGCGACACAAGTCTAGGTATCCAGATGAACGTATTCTTAATTAATCTTCGAGCACTATGTACAGTAGTGTGGGAGTTCTAAATCAAGTGGATTTACAGCTGGGCGCGGTGGGTGGTGCCGCTGGCTGCTGCTAATGGACAAAGTTGTGCTAATGGCACACAAATCACACAGTATTGGAGGTCCGCTATTGCGCTGTATCGGAGTTAATGCCGAGTTAACTTTGTGACCCGGTTGATTGATTAGGGTATAATAACCTGTGCCGTGTGTTCAGCGGCCTTTGGATTTCTATGTCAGAGGTTGTAAGCATTGCCGACGTACTTGCTTGCAGGCTTTCGTAGGTCATATTGCTTATATGTCGCACGTATTTGAGATTCAAATTAGTTTACGATTTAATCAAATAAGTAGTTACATACTACATTATTATTTGTCCTTGAAAATAGTTTTCTATTGACAGTCAAAGGCTTCAGCATAATGATCTTCTTGGTAGTTTTTTCACACATCGGGTTACATTATCAAAATTTTCACAAGGTTGTTTTTTTTTTCTCTTATTATATATAGTCTCTGTTCATCAGAGATAATGTAGGTTTAAAACGGTAAAAGAATTCTTCAAATCGGTTCGGTAGTGTCGAATCCTATTCAATTCAGACAAACAAACAAATAAAAATGTAATCTTTTCTCTTTATAATATTAGTGTAATAAGTGCATACAGCATATTAACTGACAAAAAGTATTTAAAATTTTCCACATACTGAATTTACTGTCCTTCTTTTTTTTACTACACTTTCATAAATAAAAGGATGTAAATAATATGGCAGGTTGGTCAACACACACTTCTTATTCAGTTTAAAAATAGTTCCTGAATGAAATAAGTACAGAACGCTAAAAACAGAATAATTATGTTAAATGGCCTATTTCCCGAAGATAAAGCTACAGGACGAACACAAATAAGGGAAATTGTATTTCCTTGCCAGCCTCCGTGGCACACCGGTTCCGTTCCACTCTTACAACGTTATTATGTACAATCAATATTATTATGTATAACCCGGCAGTAAAGGAAATTAAATATTCAGGATTATGGTACTTATTGGGGGTTTTTTATGGCATATGCCGTAAACGAGCAAGCGGATCACCTGATGGTAAGCAATCAGCGTCGCCCATGGACACCTGGAACACCAGAAGCGTTACAAGTACGTTACCGGCCTTTTGGGTATTAGGAGTTTGAGGATTGTTAGAGATTCGGGGAAGGGGGAGGGAGCTGGGCCTCCAGTAATCTCACTCACACGACGAAACACAACGCAAGCGTTACTTCACGTCAGTTTTCTGTGAGTCCGTGGTATCACTCCGGTCGAGTTAAGTTTTATTATTATGATATTTCTATTTTACGAAAATCAAGCGCAATGGAATGTTTTTATAAGTGGATAAATAGAACGTAATTGATAATTTCGTCTTTTCTTTTAAGTTGCTGAGGTGGTGTTCGTAGGTTTATCTTTTTTAAGTAACGTATTTTCAATTGCCTGTCGGTCTGATCTTTAGCGAAGCTTGGTGCTAATTTCATAATTTAAATTCGTAAGTTTAACTGATAGCTGCCTAGACCAGCTACCAAACTTCACAATTTTATTATAAACAGCCACTACAAGTCTCCCTCTATAAAACGACAGCCAAATAAAGTATTCCGGGCTCATATTTCACAGTTTAATATGAACCACATAGAAATATTTGAAACAACAGTCGGCTGTACGTGTCGGCGGCTGTACGCAGTAGATCAGCGGCTCTGCTGGTGCCGGCGATAAATACCAGCGACATGATTAGATATGCGACGTGCACCGCCATCACTCTCGTAAAAATACTAACAGCACTGATATTAAACTAGGGTTGCCACGGTTGTATGGTTGTGCACTGTCATATCTACGAACTGTTTTAAGTTTATCTTCTTTGTGATAGAGAACAATTCTACAATGCGCGATGACTCTAATTATTGTTCTTTCTGTAAGCTTAACTTAAGGATAAGATTTTAAGATTGAAATTTTCCTTCAGATTACACTTGCGTGTAGTTAAACCCGTGCATGTAATAATAATGCAATAAACAATAGTGCAATAAACACTAATCATTGAACATGCAGTTAACGTTGTGTTTTATAACAAATATTTGTCGAGTCATTTAGAAAACTATTAATTCAACGACATTATTGTGACAATATTTTAACTATACGTACAATTCAATCTCAATACATAAGTACCTCTAGACCTGTAATCCTAGTGATTAGAGTTCGTGTGACTATTTAGTTAAAATGGAGTTCATTACTATTCTTGCCATGCACACGAAAGATTAGAAAACAGACTAAAAAATCTAGACAAATCACATGTAATACTAGGAAAGTGATTCTCTGAATATTTCCCAAACTAGACATACTTATGCAGCACGTCACGGCCGTCACATTCATAACCTCAGCGGCAGTGAACGCGGGCGACATATTAGCAATGCGTGATGTCGCGCGGTCGCCATCCATCTCGTGGCAACCGCATATCATTCATTTACATTTTACGTCGCTGTCGCTCGTCAGACATGCGACATGGACGCTGCCTACACCCTCAGGGTTCACTCACCACATTGTTGCGGGACGCGGCCGCGAGGGGGTGCACTCATAAAACATGAATTACGTTATGTAGATACCACAGACGTGGTTATAACTCGACTCACAGAGGTTTGTGGGCTTAAATGTCTAGCTGAACATAGTACGGTTACATTTTATTGTAGAAATTAAAGCTTTACAATATATAGTTATGGGAGAGTAGCAAGTTAACTTGAATAATTTATTAAAAGAAACTTTCTATCTAAATCTTAAGCAACTCAAATTTCACGATAGTTTCAAAACTATACATAGTTTTAGTTTCAGTGACCGAGACAGAGCCATATAGAGGTAGTATTTATTTTAAACATACAAACGAGTCTTACAAACTTATACCTTATTACATATGTGAATTCAATTATATCGATCTCAACAAATAGGATCTGCGAGAACAAACTGCATAAATAGAATGTTTATATGCAGTTTATGTTAATGCTTAAATTCTTTTTAGCGAATGTCCGGCTACTTTCCAGTCGTCTACGAACGCACATCATTAAGTAATGGACGAATTCAAAAGAAACATCGCTTCCACTTACAATAACTATGTTATACATATGTGTACAAATAGTACCTATCTCTTTTTTGTTAATATTCCCATGATTATAAGATTTATGTTGTGTTGGCAGGCATGCACCGCAAGTCTATCGAGGCGGCGCGCCACCTCAAGGAGTCGGGGTCAGAGCGCGAGGGCTCCGAGGCAGAGCCCGAGCGGCCCACCTCCGCCTCCTCGCACCACCACGACAACCACGACGCACAGGTGAGGATTGAGGACTTGTATTTTGCAACTAGTACTGCAGAGTCCATTTTTCAAGGAACAAGAGTTACTTTTGTTACGAGAAGAATCCGCACTGGCAGTATTTTTTGGGTGAAAGTTATTAAGAGTGCAATAGAATTTACTTCGAGACTCGCGCATACTGAATCCGCTAATAAACTAAAATGACATTTGTAATGTTTGACAGTCAAGGATAGCACAAAAATAGACCTGTGTTCCGTGTGTGCAGATTTATTTTTATTTCGTATGAATTTTTTATTAGTATAATTTTTTTATTGGCAATAATTTAATGTATTCGCTCATATTTTCGCTTATAATATTAATAATTTCTTATATAATTGCATGTTTAACTTTAGAAGAACAGAAACTTCAACCAGACATTATATTAATTGTAAAATACTTAAAGCACGAAATGCTATGTAAATGAGCCCGCCGGCGACGATAAATAATGATTATGTCGATATATGAGTGAGCACGATTTTCAGTAATACTAATTAGAATATGTGCCGCACATTTCCAGGCACAGAGTTCCCCAGCGAGTTCAACAACGGCGTCGTCATCAGCGAAGGGTCGCGCGTCTCCCGAGCCTGGGCGGGAGATGTACGAGGACGCGGAGGCCTTCCGCAACAACAGCATCGCCTGCCTGCGCGCCAAGGCACAGGAGCACCAGGCCAGGATACTCAACCACAACATGCTACTGCAGGTACACACCACACTGTCTAGCGTCTACTAGTTATGGCCGAGCAAGCGGATTACTTGATGCTCGGATAGTAGCAAGCAATCTGCGCCACTCATGGACACCAGCAACACTAAATGAGCTGCAAGGCCTTTTAAGGATTGGTGATTTGAGTATGTAGGATAGAATAGAGGATTGGGCCTACGGTAACTTCACCAACACAGCGAACGGCAAACGCCGATTTTCTGTAATGATATTAGGTTCGGTCGAACCGTCCTATTCGCACCGAAGCATGGCTCTCCCACGTGAAATAGTTATTTAACCGATGTTGACAGTTTGTGTTTTTACACCAGGTCCGTGGCGTGGCCCGTGCGGGCAGCGCGGAGGAGGAGGGTCCGGCCGACATCGACGTGGGCACGGAGGCGCCGCCGCCCGCGCACCACCACCTCGCGCACCTCTACTGACCGCGCCACCCCGACACGCGCAGGGAACACTCGCCAACCAACTACTGAAATTTGGTAAAACCTACTGTCAATGTTAAACCGATTGAAACCAGCAGAAATTCTTCATCATCGTCAGTTTGGTATCCTAGAGGAGTGCTAACTATGGCATAATCTCTACTCTTAGCTCGTGGATTGGGAATAGCAGTAAGGATACTGAAGTTTGAGGATATCTACTGCTGCCGGTCTCTCGACAGCTGGTAGCAGTTTTAAGACACATCAGAATATGACCACGAAATATGAGTAGGATTTTTTGTGTTGTTGTTACCTGGCATGTATCTCCTGCAGTGCAGGTCCGACACGCCCTGTGCACTGACACCGCGCGTGTCCTGTAAGTATGTACATTACTAGCCCCGTCTCGTGCAATACCTTAGTTAAGTATTTATCTGTGTAGCCCGACTTGCAATGTATAAAGTTCCCCCGCTTAGATTTAATGTATGACGCGAGTTGCCGAACTGATTAATGGCGCACTCGGTATGACTATAACATAAACACACGCTTATGTGGCATCATTATGATATGGACGTGCTTTGTGTCAGTCTGTTGTTAACGCAATAACACATGATACTTGCAAAGCTATACAATTCTGCATAAAATTAACTGAATAAACCAACCAAACAATCGATTGTTGTACTTACCCAATAAGGAAGTACTTAACTAATTATAAGTTGCAGTTCGACAACTCGCGTCACCTCGTATAATGTTGTATAATGACTCCTTAATATTACTTAGAGATATTTGTGCCCAGTGTAGTGTAATTTTATCGGAGGCATTCGAGGCAAGGACAAGACTATGTAAATCGAACTAGCTGTATAAATGTAATAACGTGTTGTAAGTTGAAACTGTCGTTACTTTCATTGGCTATGATATCTTTTAGTGCGAGTAGAGAAAGAATCTTTTTAATTAATTTATTTGTGAACAGAGCTGTGTGTCTTGTTGAAAAATCATGATATAAACCACGCTTTCTTGAAATCAGATCCTTGTACATAACGACATTGTTCATATTGAAAGCGTGTGCCTGATTTTACTAAGTTCTGCTTAAAATTACTTAAGTATCTTTACCGTATCCTCATGCCATGCAGATGTGTGCAGCCCACAGCTCTGTAGAGACTTTTGTATTTAATAACAATTGACTACTTACAACGAAGTGAGCCCTGTGTCACTATTGTCATAGGTTTACATGATACGAGTGCTATCGTACTATTGGTCAGAATAATTGGCTTTAATACTGTAAGACGTGTCCACTATACTAAAGTGTACAACTATGCACTCAAATAGGTACTTAATTACAAAGGTAGTTAAGTAGAATTTGTTAAAAAGCAAATACTACCTAACTACCCGCCCTATTTCCTATTTAGCAAGGTTGCTTGTATGTGGCTCGTTAATAAATCGAATGAACATCGAAAACATTCCAATGAAGACTATTTGTATTTTCTTATTACTATTGACATGTACTTATCTTTCTTTTAACGGCGAGTTCTTCAATTATCTTTATTTACGAAATTTGAAAACAATCATCTATTGTATTAAAAATCTAAGTAGTACATACGAACAATTAGCCGAAATGTATAAAGCGCCTGTACAAAAATATTTAGCAATATATATTGAGGAACACGCTTGCTATAACTATCAAACCAGGCTATCGATAATAAATTACAATAAATAAATTGTTAATAGTAGATATTTTTTGTGTAAATTCTCATTTTGACAGTAATGTTGCTTCTGATTAAAGATTAATGCTGATGCTATCGAAGGATCAATTTGACATACAATACTCAGATCAACATCAAGGAAAAAAGATAAACTGCCGACTCTTGTTTTGCTGGATTCACCTACTCTTCTAATTTTGCTAGATTTTACTATCACAATTTGTACTTTGTATGTTAAATTGGTTCCTGTGGGCAGTGCGAGCGTCATATTGACGTGCCGTAACGACTTGTATAGTTCGAGAGAAAGCTCGGAAGGCCTCACATCTATGAGACATAAGTAAGTTTATGAATAACGTAGCAACTATCGTTGGTACCGTACTACGCATAGAGTTGTAATATATTTATTGAAATTAAACAAATCTAAAGTAATGTGAAACTTCATCGTAATTACAAGTTATTCCGATGAATAAACAACATGTATAAATTATTTGTTGCAGTTTTATTTTTACAATTATTACTCCACTAGCTTTTACCCGCGGCTTCACTCGCGTCACAAAAGGATAAAAATTAGCCTATGTGACATACCAATACACACAGCGCCATCTATACCAATAATTTCGTTTTCCCTCGAGAATATCAAATTTTTCCGGAATAAAATACCCGATTATTTAATCCACACTTCTAACTTTACGTCTGCAAAAATTTAAAGTAATCGGTTAAGTAGTTACGGCGTGAAAGCGGAACAAACAAACAAACTCACTTTCCCATTTATAATATAAGTAAGGAATTTCTGTCTGGAACAACATAAGTTTACCTACAACGATGTATACGTGGAAAATGTATGTAAGAATCGTAGCAATTGGCGTTTCATAGTCTCTGCCTACCCCCATGAGAGACAGGCGTGAGGCTATGTATGTAGAGGTATGTATGTATGTATGTAATATACATTTGTCACTAGTTATGGTTAAGCTACTCCCTCTACTAAGAATGAAATAAATATCCTTATAATAATTTCTATGTTTGAGTTACTATCAAAACACTTATTCTTTAAATCTACTAGGTAATTTTAGTTTAAAATAAAAGAAAACATTTGGCAAACAAAGCCATAAAATAGCAAATTTAATAAATACAGCTGGCGAAAAAATTATACAAAATTCTTAAGTCTATACTTATAAGTACAATGAAGTAACTGCACTGGGAGTCACCCAGCTGTTGACAATTGTATTTCTAATCTAACTTCTCTTGTATTATCTTGTTCATTATTTATTACTAAAGTATTCAGCTTAAATCCTGTGAAGTATCCTAATTTGACAACTTTCTTTACAAGATTTCCAACTTTATTACCTTGTAAAGCAGTTAAAAATATAATATAAGGAATCTAATTCTATAGGAAGTCGCTGAGTTTCTGAGTCGATTTGAGCGACATCTATTGGCACACTTGAATAATCAAGTTAAGAAGTTTCATTTTACGTTTAAAATACATAAATATTAACTTTATTTTATGCATAAATGTTATTATAGAACTCGTTTGACATTGTAAGACACCTTTTCGGACGATTTTGCTTAAATAAAATAATAGTAAATACATTTTTAATAAATAGTTTTCTACATTTCTCAATTTCAATATTAATATTCGAAGTTGTACATAAGAATATTTATTAATTTTAATAAGGTACTTGGTTGATTAATGTAAATATATCGAAAAGTTGAGGCAAGTCATAAGGAGCACTTGTAATAATGTCCTCAGCAGAGGAATTGGCTTGTGGAGTTATAACCCTCACTTAGTTTCACTCACAAATAGAAATGCTAGTGAAATAATCAATATTTAGCATTATGAAGCAAATATTTTAAGACCACATTACACTTCATTTTCCTACGTAGGTGTACAGAAGTAATATACATATTTAGTGTAACACCTAAGTTTTCAGTTATGTTACGAAAATAAAACACTTCATTATTTTGCATCTCGTGACCTCTTCTATAATAGTCGCGTATACCGCATTTACCAACACTTGATTAACTCGGCAATTATTATACGTCCAAATACGGAAAGGCTACTCAAAACCCGTTTTCCGTTGTCACGCCATTTGAGAATGGCTGGACCGATTTGGCTGATTTTTTCTTGTTATTTGTTATAGTTAGTGGAAGGTTCTTATGATAGAAAAAAGAAATCCAGAAAATCTTATGGGAACGGGAGAAAACGGGATTCTGCCCGCGACTTCGTACGAGTTGTTTATAAAATTACAGAGGCAAATGGCATGACATTTAAACGCAACTTCAACTTGAGTAGCTTTTTAGTATTCCGGCGTCAGTATTGCATTACAATTGTAAGTTAAAAGAGGTACACAAAAAAGGAACCATCCCACATTGGTTTTCCTCATTCATTAATGAAATAATTTACCTGTAGTATTATCATCAATTTACATGAGTCGCGTTCCAGTCGCCACTTCATATACATAACTGTTATATCAATATACTAGTACAAAATTGTTCGTAAGTAACTTGGCATTAAAAATAACAGAAAAAAACATATGGAATAGCTTAATATGGGGGTAAAATTGGAACAAATTAACTCGTCGAGTACCGTCATTATAGACACAATTATAGAACAATAGGTTGCGGTCACCGGTGACCGCTTGGTGTTTGACAGTTTAATGCTGTATTGGACTATACACTGATATACAAAGATAAACTCACGCCTTTGTCCTATATGGATAGATGGAAGCTCACGTTTGGATATATGCATTTTAATCCAGCAAATATTAAAAATAAAAAATCAATAAAAGTATAATCGACCAGGCGTTACATTAAATGTACTCTAACCGAAGAGCATGTGTTAAAATACTGTTCAGGAAGCGAACAAGGTTTGTAAGAATCGTGTCCATTGGTGTTCTATAGATTCTGCCTACCCTTATGGGAGACAGGCGTGAGACTATGTATATAAGTGTATATTCAGAATGTAGTCCTATTTTACGCTGTAAGTCCAAATTTACCCCGTACAACCGTATAAGCAGCATTACTAACCGAGCCAGCAAATATCTAAAGTACCGTACATAATAGGGTAGTTTCCTAAATCTTATTTTATGTCCGTCTGGTACATTAATTTAACACTTTAGACACGTATTTTTTTTTCTCACAAAATTAAATACTTTCGACGATATTTTAATTTGAAACGTCACAGCGTGCCACATGTTGTAGCACTTTATGACGTAACAACCTCCCACTCCTAAACTTAGCGCCATTTTATCGAAGTATTGCAACTTAATACGAGAAAATAAAAATATACTTATCTAGTATTTTTTCATTCTCTAACTGGAACTGGAATCTACCCAATTATGTATGCATACTTGCTATCTTATTTATTAAACCTAAGAACATGGATGTTCAGTGTAGTTTCTCCAAACGTTTGACTAGAAATGCTTACGATTTCGTCCGCGTAATTTGAAATACAATTTATTAAAGTATCAATATCATATTTTAACAATTCAAAGATTCATTTCCAATCGGTTACACGTTAATATTTGAAACATTGTATTATTATATAAATTCTAGGTATAATAGCCCGCCAGGCGCTACAGTAAAACATCTAAGCATTAAAACACATTTATAAAATGTTGCACTTACATCTAAGCCCTGTCGCACGCAGTAAATGCAATTGTCTTCATAGAAAGAAGTATTCATTAAAAATAAATTTAATATTGTATAAGATAACTATAACATCACTCTTTTTATCCCCCAAAGGGATAAGCAAAGGTACATAAAAAGCATTACTTACAAATAGTCCCACGCTAATAGATGAACCTAATCTAGGCTGTGTGCTACTACTAAGGCTTTGAAAAAAAGCACTCAATATTACTTTGCCCAACACTCACAACCAATTAGGCAGTTAGTGAGATAAGATAAATGTCTAACAATAACAATACAAATGGCTTCCCATTCGTGCCGTGTAACCTTGTCTGGCATTTCGGTACATTACGCGTGCAAATGTGATGACATCATCGTACATACTGTTCGCGATTACATAGTAACGTCTACTAAATATATATTGCAAGAACGTTACGATTGATTAGAATATCCAATATGATTATTATCATGAGTAGCTAATTAGGTTTCATCGTTCGCCTGGGTCATTACGGGCCCCGATCGTAGTTTGAAATTAGTCGGGCACCCTCGATTACTTACGAAGGCAAGCAATGTACTGTTTTTAATTTAGTATGGCTCACGTTCTAAGATTATGAGTATATGTATGCGTGCAACAGGGAGCTTCAACACTTAACATCGACTACTACAATAAACATACAAATATATCCACCTAGTGTTACTATTATAATATTTGTACGTAACAAAACAGTTTCTCATTTAGCACGATTCTATTAAAATTATTATTTAGAACATTTCTTCTGAATTATGTATAGGAAGATTGTTAAAAATGCTCTTTTTATTCATTCATTTATAAAATTAGGTATAATTAGTATTTAAAACTCGTTCTTTTTCATGTAGCTTATTCTTTAAAACTACATATTTAGTTTGGTACTTAATTTCCAAGTAAAATTAATTGAACGACCATGCATCATTTTTCTTCTCAAAACAAAGATATCCAAATCATAATCCAAATCCAATCCAAAAGAATTCGTACAATTTTGTGATTCGGTTCTTTGTCTCATATTTTAAGACTTAGGTAGCTAATAAGCATTTATTATTTTATACTGTTGCATCTATTGTTGTCTTTATATTTTAGGTACCAACATTTTAAGGAATCTCTAATAAAATGGCCTTAAAGATTTGCTTAAAACAAGTAGCTAACCTATTAGACGTTCGTGTATTAATTTTGGATGCATCCAAATCAGTAGGCTTCTTCAACCTGATTAAGATCCTTTCATCGATTTACAGATGTTAGCAGTAACTTCAGAAAGTTGTTATCTTTGCTTTGTTGTGCATTGTGAGGTCATGTTCATAAACAAAAGTAAGTACATAATATAGTGAGTACCGAGATGTCCCGCGCAGTGACTAGTAGACAGACTTGTGCGGGCCCTCCATGTCCTCCGCACTCTTCAACATCAAGTAGTAACTGTTCACGCACAGGATGCAGTAAGCCATCACTCCTGGAATACAAATATAAGGTTATTGGCATTGTGTCCAAACAGATATATGCTTTGGAAAGAGCAATCAGATTCATTGACAGATGGTGAATAATTCTACTGTAACGTTTCAACAGTACATTTGGTATAGTTTAATCAAAATTTCAGACTACAGCTACTACTAAAAACAGAAAATGTTTTTCATTAATTTCTGTGTGTCATAAATGATCTAAAAATAATGGAATTTTAACTTGTTTTACTTTATTACATTAGGTACGGGGCGTCGATAAATTATTACGTGAGATGTTTAAGGGGGGAGGGGGTAGACTCAAATCTCATCTAATCTTACATTTGTACAATGTACATGCTTAAGATTTAATTGTACATGCACATATATTTTTTGTCTTTTTGCTATAACAATCCAACGCGTTTACGTGAAAAACCAACATTTTGAAAAGTCTGACGTGAGATTGGGTATGGGGGAGGGTGTTGAATAAAATCTCACGAAATCTCACCACCAAGGGGGGAGGGAGGGACAAACAATTAAAAAAATACCTCACATAACGCCCCTACCTATATCTCATAAAGTAACAATATTTATCAAAAAAAATCCACTGATTGTAAAAGAACACAATCAGATTTAAAAAAAATGTTATAAAGAACACCTTCTGGAGTCAGACAGTACATTAAGTAACTGATAGCGTAACGAGTGACAAACAAGTTGCAAGCGACCAGACTAATGCAAGTAAAGTACATACTCAGAGAGTTTACATAACAACTTACACGATTGCACGTCTGCATTTGAATGTCTTTGCTCAATTGGGTACTTTCCTTAATCAAAAATAAATTATTTCGACTGTTCAATACAATAAAATATTTAAAAAATAATCACACTTTCATTAATTGATTTTATGACTAATTTAATAGTAGAATAAGTATGCTGTATGACGCTAAAAAACGTGACGTCACGTGATAAACAATCTGGTACAAAATTCAATTTTTTACAATTGAATTTTGTATTTCGAAAAAAGTATTGAATTTGACTAGTTGGCAAGTACCCAATTGTACGCTTAAAGCTCCTCTGAGGGCTTAATCCAAGTTTATTTTACGTTTAACGAAATAAAAATTAGACCGCGGTCGACGCTCTCATTGGCCAATTCCAATAATCCAACCATTCACAGCGCCGAATGCGGTCTCGATTCGATATCGTTGAACGTAAATCAAATTCGTACTAAGCCCTCTGCATTGTTTCTAAGGTTTTTTTTTTCATTTTTTATTTGGTTTACCACCCAAGAACCAGCAACATATATCATCACCATCAGCAGAATGACGTGCACTGCTAAACAAGGCCTGTATAAAGGGGGGGGGGGGTGTCAGTGATTTAACATAATCGCGCCCTAATATTTGTGTTTATGTTCATAAATCATATATATGAATGGCTGTTCGCTAAAACTCAAGAACTGCTGGACTAATTTGGCTATTTTTGGTCTTGAAATGTTCGTGTAATTACTGTAAGTCCAGGGAAGGTTTAAAAGGTGAGACAAAAGGGTATTTTTAGGCGGTACGAAGTTTGCCGGGTCAGCTAGTCAATAATAAATAAAGAAACCTGAAGGTATACCCCACAGGTCACAAATTCTGAAACACAGCCTTAGATCACAATACCCACTTAAAAGTAACTTTTGAAATCCTGCACAGATTATTATATAACACGTATAATGTGGCCATTAGTTAAGAATATTACAAAAACAGTTTAAAGAAATTTCCATATTTGAAAAATTCAGCATTTCAGCCATTTTTGAACAGTTTACAGGTGTAGCTGGTGTAGGAATATAACAAAGAACTTTAGTGTTAAGAGGGGACATTTACTAAGTGCCTACATAGCTAGGTATCTCCGACAACTGTACAAACACCTTGTATTTTTGTTTGTTCATTTAACAATGATAAAACGTTTCATTTCTAGTGGACAGGGAAGTTTAACTATTTAAAAACAAGACGGTTTTTGTTCTCGAGTCGTTTGTACAATGCAAGTAGTGATGTACACCAGTACGGTTCGTTTTTCTTTAATATAATTAATTCGCTTAATTTCTTTTAACTCCATTAAGTGTACCAGTATCAGCGTCTCACGCATCTGTGACTATAGTATATGATAGTTTTTATTTCTATTTAGACCCCAGCAGAACAATCTCAACAACCAGTACGTCAACTTCTTAAATAGACACTGAACTTCATTTATAATTTTAGTAAATAACGATACACAATAAAATAGGAGTTTGTTGGTGTCTGTACCTACTAAAATGAAGTCTGACTATTCCTTTGGGGAATATTATGAACAAGACAACAACGTATAATAATGTAGTAAAAGCTAAAACTCACCGAAGAAGACGAGTCCCTCGAGGAAGGACAGGAAGATGTCGGAGCCGGAGCCGGACAGGCCGTGCATGGCCGCGAGCACCACGATACACACGAGCGACGCCGCGCACAGCGCAGACATCACCCACACCCACACGCGGACACCGCGCGCCGCGCGCTGTGCCAACGATACATACTATATACACCACGATACACACGAGCGACGCCGCGCACAGCGCAGACATCACCCACACCCACACGCGGACACCGCGCGCCGCGCGCTGTGCCAACGATACATACTATATACACCACGATACACACGAGCGACGCCGCGCACAGCGCAGACATCACCCACACCCACACGCGGACACCGCGCGCCGCGCGCTGTGCCAACGATACATACTATATACACCACGATACACACGAGCGACGCCGCGCACAGCGCAGACATCACCCACACCCACACGCGGACACCGCGCGCCGCGCGCTGTGCCAACGATACATACTATATACACCACGATACACACGAGCGACGCCGCGCACAGCGCAGACATCACCCACACCCACACGCGGACACCGCGCGCCGCGCGCTGTGCCAACGATACATACTATATACACCACGATACACACGAGCGACGCCGCGCACAGCGCAGACATCACCCACACCCACACGCGGACACCGCGCGCCGCGCGCTGTGCCAACGATACATACTATATACACCACGATACACACGAGCGACGCCGCGCACAGCGCAGACATCACCCACACCCACACGCGGACACCGCGCGCCGCGCGCTGTGCCAACGATACATACTATATAAACCACGGCGGGGGCAAGGGAACCACACGGCTAACTTGGGTGGGTGGTTACTCTTGAAACCAATCTCAATGACAATGCAATTACAATCCAATAAAATGTCAATAATGATTCAATGTCAAGACTATACAACCCCTACCGTAGCTGTTGAAATACCATTCAGAGTACGGAATATTAAGCCAAACTCAATACCATTCAGTTCAATCAATATCCACGCAATACGGATGCAATGGGCGCTAGTGTTGCAACTCGAGAGTACGAAATTTCACAATACCAATGTCGATCGATCGGAATTGGATTCAAGAGTAAGCCCCCTGATGGTAAGTGGTTACCGTGGCCTATGACCGCTTGCAACACTTGGGGTATTACATGCGCCTTGCCGACCCTTTATAAACCTATTTACTCCTTTCTTGAAGAACCCCATATTGTAGCCATACTAATTAGTATCACACTAATATTATAAATATGGATTTCTTTGTATAGATGTCTGTCCGTCAATCACGCTGAAACTACACAACGGATTTTGATGAAATGTGGTGTACAGGCTAAATGATTAATTGCTCCCATGAGATAAAACAGAAATCATATTCTACGAAGAACGAAGAAGAAGACGGAGACGAAGTCTCGAGCAACAGCGACTATGAAATAAAATTTGACAATATGCTGGTAAGAATACAAGGATTGATTCAGTACAGAGACAGTAACCATTGGTTGGCTACTGAACCGACCAATGGCTACAGAAAATATGCTTTGGTTAAAAATTACATAATGTGTAGTATAATTAGCTACTGTCCTTGTACTGAGTTAAAATCTTTGCTTGTTACCTGCATATACTAAATTACTATACTTAATGTTCAGCTGATATACATTGTGTCAACTGTGTTCAAATATTATATTGTCTGTATGATGAATGATCTGTGTCTGATGGATGACTGTAGGATGTGAAGGGAATAAAGAGTAATTAGTTTGTAATAACGGGTACAGAATAACTTTACCGACCCAAATATAATAAGGTAGGAAGAAGTTCAACCTATGTATGTTACTTTAACAGTTATTAGCATTAACAAAGTTGGAGAATGTTTTTATAATAACTATCGTAGGACATACTAAATTAACTAAAAATCGCGGGTTGCTCACGTGAATACACTGAGAAAGGCTGTACTAGTTTCGAACCACAGAGGGGTTCACGCTCATAAGCATCTTCCTTCTCTTAAACTAGTAGAACTTTTCTCAGTTTATTCACGTAAGTAACCCGCGATTTTAGTTAAAAATTGGAGACCTCATATTTAATCAAATCAAATTGTTTTATTTGTAAACATAAATAGGTACAATATACAGCAAAGTGTATGACAGATAAGTGGCATCCTCTATGTTTTGTCCAGAGGTAGAAAGACGATGTATCGTTGTTGTATTGTTAGTATTTTCGACCTTGTGTTCTATCGTAAAATAGCAAGCTCATAAAATTGAAACATCCGATATACCTTTGGATTTCAAAGTATCCGTACATTCCGCACACTTTGATGGTCCACCGAATGGTGATTAATTAACTAGATTACGATTAGTATGCTATGAATGACACCAAGGCAGTTCTGTCTTCTTTGAAATACGCATAAAGAACCGAGAACAAGTACAAATTGGTTCTTTTATTTTAAGATTTTAATACATGACATTCGAAAGTAACAATTAGGCAACTAAACATTATGAATAGATTGGTGATCAATATAAAAAAGTAAAATCGAAATCATGATCCTATGAAACTTATCCTCATACTTTACAAGTGAAAACATCTAATAATACAATAGTGGGCGCATAAAAAACAAAAACAAACGAGTAGGTAGTAACAACTATTTAAACTCTCACAAATACTTAGCTATAGTAGTGTACCGAAATAAATGATTATAAAAAGAAAAAGCCCAGCGATACAAGACATTAAGATATCCGCGTGCGACGTGACGCAATCATCTCAGCAGGGAATTCGTACGCTAAAGTAGAGGATAGTTCGCTGTTCCTGTTTCCAATCACACTATTACATATTACGAACGGAATTTTAGAGATGCTAACATTAAACTATTGTAATTTCTCTAATACATTTTCGACTTTATGTCAAACACATACAAAGAGTAGGTCTGACTGGACTAACAATACTTTTTATAATAAGTGTACCTTCTACCGTAAACTGCACGCCTTTGTAGCGCAAAGACAAAAAATCGATCGACAATGATACAGATACGAGTATCAGACACAGAATGACGTTTATTAACACTATGAAACGTCTTAATAGCTTGAATAGGAGCCTGAGCGACAAACTGAAATTGGTCGAAAATTGGTCTAACTAAAACATGTAAACGATTTAGCGTTGGCTTACCTTGAAGACAGAGAAGAGCAGTGTGAAGGCGAGCAGTACATGCACGACGGTGACGACGGCGGTGGCGACGGCGATCTTGTACCAGGTGGCGTACAGGCCGTCCCCGGCGTCCTCCGCCGTGCCCACGAACCCGCGCACATTCTCCGCGAACACGGAGCACAGGATCATCAGGATGAATGACACCAGCTGATGAACAGTAGATAAGAAGTTAGTAATAAAACGTGGTAATGTTATAGCTGGTCTTACACGGACATCTATGTCGTCACTGCTTTAGTCTAAAACCCCTGACCCTGAATGAAACAGGGCAGATGGTCGTTTCATGTAAAATACTCGACTCGCCGAATCTGGGTTAAACTAACAGACCTGCCCAGTTGGGAGTCTTGCAAAGAGACGGTACGCTAACAAAGGGACTCTGTACTACATTTACGTCTATCTGCATACCGAATAATTTGGCTCTCTGCACATTCAAAAAAGAAATGTTCAGTCAGAGTTATCTACTTTTTATCTCTTCTAATCTCTAGGTACATCTACAGCATATAAAATGTCTCGTATCTCAAATTCAATGTAAACACAATTCGCCAAACTTAGAGGTATTGTTTAGCGAGTGTTCATTACCATATTTATGAGGTGAACAAAATGTAGCTCGTTTAAAATGCAACATGTGACCAGTGTACCGTCTCGAACGTGATCACGAATACCAATAATGTGTCGATCCACCGAAATTCGCAGACCAACTGAGATAAGTGTTACCTAGATATATAAATAAATATAGAATTAGATATAGGTACCTAATTACCTTCTAGGCCAAAGTATAGACGCCCGATATTCATCTACATTATGTCAGTAAGTACGAGTACCTACTCAAGGTAAATGTTAAATTATTCACGAGAAGTTTTCATATTATGTTTATTACCCATATCAACAAAAGTTAAGACTAAAAACTGATGAGACTATCTGCTTCTGCATTCCTGATTACTAGACTTGAAACATGAAACATTAAATGATAATAATTGATAACACTAACACAATAATATCCCTAATAATAATTTATTGTCACAACAAAGCATTAACTCACACAACTTCCAAATAAACCAGTCGTTACTAAAATAAAAACTGAGACCAGTTTTCAAGGTAATAAAAATGCGAAATAAATATCTGTACTATTCGCGAATACATACACAATTTACATGGCGATCATATATCTCACTTAGCACTATTATGTAAGAATGTAAACAAACAATAACATGTAATAAAATGATCTCACCAGGTGTACGAAGCCGACGCACTTAGCTCCGACCTCGAGTCCCATGCACCAGCAGAAGGAGGTGATGTGTGGCACGCCCATCTTGGCACTAGCCTCGGCGACACGCTCGCGGCAACTGGAACACAAGCGAGAGACAATGTCAGCTATACCGCGCGAACTGTCTGATACGCCATACGCCCCACGAGCGTCGAGTCGTGACGTCGGGCGCCGTATGCTGACGTCAAATGACGAATATTTCCTTGAACTTGATTGCACAAGGGAAAGCCCTTACGTATTCGAGTAGTAAACTTGACGTGTTTGCAAGATATTTTTATGCTGCACCCACCTCTAGCTCATTCATAGAGGTCACTACCGCTGCCAAATGCCAACATGTGAAATAATATATTCTTTCCACAAAATGCGTTTGCGTTGGCGCCGTGCACAAATTATGGATCTAAAAATGACACTCCTCTGAAATATGAAAAACTGATAAATTTTGTTTTCGAACGCTCGCAATTTTTTTAGAAACAGGGAGCATTATATCAAGACTCGGTTACTAAGAGCCCGACTTTAAGTTGTAATGTGAACTGAAAGACTAATACCTAAATACGTAAGGGCCAGACTGCCTAAATGCCTACAATCGCTATTGCATAATCAGTATATTTTTGCGAACTTGGGTCTCGTGATAACAGACACGTGTATATTCTTATCGACTCGTATAAAACTCAAATGATAAAAACATTTACATACACAGATAACATGGTTTGAGTGCATTTTCAAAAACGTAATGTTCAACTCAAAAATCTAATATTTATACAAAAAAAAATGTAACTTACATAACCTTTCGACAAACCGAATAGACTGCAGTCTGACGCAAATGATTACTACGAACTTTCTCCGAAACAGAAACAAAACAAAATCATTGGTACCTACATAATTTATTTATATCAATTTAAATAAACCGATTGTTTACGCGCAGGAACTGGGTCTGGTCGTCACTCAAAATCCCCAGTTTATCGAGAGGTGTCGGCGTGAGTAACTAATGATAACTGCAATCTGTGGCGTCAGAACATCACTAATCGATACAATATGAGCCTGAGCGAACTAGTCTACCAAACGTGCATAACAAATTATTATCAGGATATAGTCTGCAACTGCAATACACTATGACTTTCACAATAGATACAAGATACAAGGTTCAAGATGGAGTATTCCACATTTTCAACACAACTCGACCTTATAGTCCTTCACTTCGCAGACAGCCAGACTCAGGCACGTCTCGACGTTCTCCGGTCAAATGAAGATCATTTCTTTTAAGTTTTATTCTTCTAATACAAATTGAGAATACCTACATGATTGTAGCAGGACAGGACTTAGCACGTTTTTCCCCTATTACTCAGCTAGAAAATGTTTATCAATATAAATAGTATGCAGACGGAAATAATATATTGTAGTACGAACATATTTATTAAAAAATAAAGTAGGTGTACTATAATAAACCTATGATTAATTTCCTGGTAGTTAGGTTGGTAGCTTGGGGAGTTCCACTTCATTCAGTTATGTAGGGCCGGTTTAGTTAAACAAGGATCATGAAAGTTCAACACTGATCAACGTAGGTGGTAGCAACACAGCTCGCCATGCGCTACATGGTTTGTTCCTATTCAAGCACTTGGTACGCGATAAGAATATACATAACAAATTGGTCTACCCAATTTTCAGTTTGGCGCAATGAACTCAGTTCCATTCGAGACAATACTGCGTTATGTATGCTTGTCAATAACAAACTATCAGCTAGAAAGGCACTCCTGGGGGGGGCTTACGTTGCTCGCGTCCGTAGGATCTACCACCTTATCCAGGCACACCCTACACGTGTCCCCCGGGTGGTGCTAAAAGAGCAACTTAACGCCGAGTCACAGGCGGTGGTCAAATAACCTGTCAACAGGACTAAAAATCCTGGCAAGTGGAGGTAGGAAATGACTTTCACAAACCATAGCCCTACTGTATAGTAGGAATGGTAGTCTCGGCTTAATCGCCCGGACTGCGAGGAAGAACTTCCTCTTTAAACATTCTTTCAACCCAAACCCTATCCTAAGGTGGGAAACGTGCCGAAAGGATACTCATAAACATCCAAATGAGCAGCTAGTGGGAAACTAGTTTCAAGCGCCAACCTCAACGGACCCGGCTAACGTTGCTGTATTGAGCCTTCTTGGGGGAATAGGCGTCACCCTCCAAGTGACCTTTTATATCGGCCTAACTCGTGGGAACAATATGGATAATACAAAAAATGAAAACAAAAAACAAAACTTAATCGAAAATCCTTCTAAATTAGTTCAACAAACACTCCATAAGAGCTTGTTTGCTCGAACAAGAAGCCACTCTCTCGAAATAATACCTAAAGAAACACAGCCAGAAAACAAATCAAGTGACTGGACGCATGATGTAACACTCAGTAGAACTGATAAGCAACCGTGGCAAAATGATCAAGTATCAACTAAAAGGAAGGCAGAATCAAGCCCTGAAATGGTTAACAAAACTAGTAAACTAACAAAGACAACCTACGCGGTAACCACACAAAATAGATATGAAATCCTCGACATACCTAGCAACGAAGAAACAGACTTACCACAAAGGGAACCTAGACCGCCGAAACCAGAGCCCATATTTGTCACGGGAGTACTAGACATAAAAAAATTAAAAGAACTTCTCTCTACGATTACAGAATCTGATAAGTATACCATGACCACTCTGAGATCTGGCCACATCGTCAAAATAATGCCGACTGATGTCGATACATATAAACTTATCAGACACAACTTCGTTACTGACAATGTAAGCCATTACACGTACAAACTGAAAAGTGAAAGAGCCTACCGAGTTGTACTTCGTGGCTTGCACTCGTCGGAGGACACTGAACAAGTAAAACAAGAGCTTTTTGAACTGGGACATGACGTCAGACAAATTACAAATGTACTTCATAAGACAACGAAAAGTCCACTTCCGTTATACTATATAGATTTAGAACCAAAGCATAACAACAAAGACATATTCAACATTAAACAAATCAACAGGGTTAAAATTAACTTTGAGGCACCATATAAAAAACAAGAAATCCTGCAATGCAAACGCTGTCAGAGATTCGGACATGCTAAAAATCAATGCAATAGGCCACATAGATGCGTAAAATGTGGGGAAGATCATCCAACAGCAAGCTGCCTAAAACGTCCTGATACAGACGCCACTTGTGCCAACTGCCAAGAAAACCACCCAGCAAGCTACAAAGGCTGCACTAAATACAAACAATACAGAGATCTACTAAAAAGAAACAAAGTAAAGACACCCAACGACAAAATAGAAACTATCCAACAGAACGATCACCCAATAGAATCAGAACAAAAAATAAACCAGCCCAGAAACTACACGAAACACCTTAAACCAAACATGACTTACGCACAGGTAGTAAACCAACAAAACACAAATAAAACCAAAATAGACAATAAGGAACCAAATAACTTTTCCGAGTTACTAGACGTAATGATGGATAAATTACAAAACATGATGACCATCATGTTAGACAAAATGATGGATCGAATGATCCAATTAGTCACAAGCCTCATCAAACACCCCTAAATCTAAGAATAATTACGTGGAATGCCAACGGGTTGACGGAACGCCGACAAGAATTACAACTTTTCCTAACGATGGAAAGAGTCGACGTAGCGCTAATATCTGAAACAAGATTTACAGCAAAAACCAACTTTAACATTCAAAACTTTACGGTATATACTACAAACCACCCGTCTGGTAATTCACATGGAGGCACAGCCGTATTAATAAAAGAGAACATCAAACACTATCCTCTGCAAAATTATGAAACGGACAAAATTCAAGCAACGTCAATTAAAATCCTCGACAGCAAAATAGAAACAACCGTCTCTGCCATTTATTGTCCACCAAGGCATGTTATCACTGGCGAGGACTATAAGAGTTATTTTAATACACTTGGAAACAGGTTCATCTGTGGAGGAGACTGGAACGCCAAACACCTGTTCTGGGGCTCTAGGATGACTTTGCCACGTGGACGGCAATTGTACTCGGCAATGAAAGATCTTAAACTGCAATGCACTTCACACGGCGTCCCCACATATTGGCCATCAGATCCTAATAAATTGCCAGACCTACTGGATTTTTTCATCACCAAAAACATAGCATCTAACCAGATAGACACAGAAGAATGTACCGACTTGTCCTCGGATCACACACCAACAATAATGAACTTACACTGGAAGGCAATTATGACGGACTACCCAGAGAGACTCTACAATCACAAAACGGACTGGAACAACTATAGGACCGAAATAACGAAGGCAATAAATTTAACCACGCCATTGAGAAGTTTGAAAGGTATCGAAGCAACAATTGAATTTCTCAATAAGCTCATCCACCGAGTGGCAAAAGAATCCTCACCTATGCAGAGACAATACGCACAAAAATCACGGTACGCTAAATCAATAAAGGAGAAAGTAAACGAGAGAAGACGTCTTCGGAAAAGGTGGCATTCTACAAGATATCCTCGTGACAAGAAAGCCTTTAACCGAGCTTCAGAAGAACTCAAAGACATGATCTACCAAGCAGATAATGCACGACTCCAGTACCAACTTGCCAACCTTACTCCAAACAAAGACACTAACTATTCCCTTTGGAAGATAACAAAGAAACTGAAAAGGCCAAAGACACACATACCACCAATAAAAACTACTCCAGGAAAATGGGCAAGAACAGATCTTGAAAAAGCTCAAGCGTACTCAGAACACCTAAAGGACGTATTCCAACCTCTGACAAGTAAACACCCAGATCATGACAAAGACGTTTATGAGTACCTCGGTTCCCCACTACAAATGTGCTTACCGCTAAAAAGTGCTAGCCCTAAGGAAGTGTGGAAGGAAATCCTAAAACTACCGGAAGGTAAAACACCAGGCTATGACTTAATTGACGCACAACTTTTAAAACAACTACCAAAAAAAGGAATAATACTCATTACTGCAATCTTTAACGCCTGTCTTAAGTTAGGCCAATACCCGGCACAGTGGAAAATTGCCCAGGTTATCATGATACTCAAACCAGGCAAACCGCCCCATG